TCTGATCAATTAATTATTTTTTAACAAAATTTATTAAAATAACATAATTTTAAAATAATATTTCTGAGTTCATTTTTTTTTTTTCCGATTTTCCATACGATATCAGAGGTTTCATCCAATTAATCCGAACTCGACCTATGTTACACACCTAAATATAATGAATGAGTCTAAACTGCTACGTACACAAAACCCTAAATTTAAGAACTTACTTAAACTAAAATAGACCGCTTAGCACTTTACCCGACCATTCTTCGTTAATAATCGTAATCGTGCATATCTCGAATGACATATATATAACAACAACTCGTCTCACGCTCACAGCGTACTCTTTGTTCATAAATCACTGCTAGCAGTGGCAGTGGCAGTCGCAGTCGCAGTCGCCTCCTCCGTCTAATCTGCTCATTCATTCTTGAATCAAGATCCGGCAAAATGAACGATGCAGATGTGTCCAAGCAGATCCAGCAGATGGTGAGATTCATTCGCCAGGAAGCAGAGGAGAAGGCCAACGAGATCTCGGTTTCTGCCGAAGAGGTGAGATTAGTTTACGTCTTCTATCGAATTGTTTGATTTTGGGATACTTTTACATATAGTTTTGAAATTATCGGCGTTTTTGGTGAGTTAGTGTTAAATCGATTGGTGTTCTAGGAATTCAATATCGAGAAACTGCAGTTGGTGGAGGTGGAGAAGAAGAAGATCAGACAAGAGTATGAGAAGAAGGAGAAGCAAGTCGAAGTTCGAAAGAAGATGTAAATTTAGTCGTTGAACTTTACTGATGTTGATTTCATTTTTTCTAATTTGCTTGTCTTCTTAGTTTTTTAGAATGGTTAATTATTGTTGGATTGAATGCATGTGGCTTTTGAGCTGTTAAGTGGAATCAGATTTAGATTGCAATTTCACCTGAAAATTCTGTGAAATCTGGTGCTAATATCATTTAATTAAATTAATGTCAATCTATAATGAAATTTCATTTGAATCATTTTGAAGCTGTAGTGTGAATGCAATTTGATGAAAATATTCTCTTGCAGTGAGTACTCTATGCAGCTCAATGCATCCAGGATCAAAGTCCTCCAAGCTCAAGATGATGTGGTTAATTCCATGAAAGAGGCTGCATCTAAGGAACTTCTGAATGTGAGCCATCACCACCATGTTTATAAGAGGCTCTTGAAAGATCTTATTGTTCAGGTTAGTGTGCTCCACTTTCATGTTTCATTTGCTAGCTTTATATCAATGGCTTAATTATTGCTTGAAGATGTTTGTTATTCTTTAAGAACTTTAAGAGAATGATAGAATTTTGATGGATCTTGTAGTTCTTCAGGATGATGGTGATGATCCTGATGATGTTTCTGTAACTTTTTCAATGTCTAGACATGTTAGTGTTATTTGTGCAATGTATGTATCTGTCTCTGTTTCTGTTCTTTATGATGGATTGTTTGCTTTTAACTGCTGTGAAAAAGATTTTTGCTGGTACTCTTTGAAGTGAATGGACTGATATTAAAACAAAGTTTCATGTTGGCAGAGTTTGATTAGACTGAAGGAGCCCACTGTCTTACTTCGTTGTCGCAAAGATGACATTTATTTGGTGGAGTCTGTACTGGATTCTGCAAAGGAGGAATACTCAGAAAAACTGAATGTTCATGCACCAGAGATAACAGTTGACAGTGTCTATCTTCCACCTGCTCCTTCTCATTATAATGCTCATGGTCCTTTCTGGTAAATTATCTGTTTAAAATGAAGCCAGATTGCATTTTCTTATTAATGCAATGCTGTATTTGGCCTTTGTTTTGAACAAGTTTGTCTTTGCCAGCAGACAGCATTGCATAACTATTCTCAGGGTGTTTTTTTTTTTTTTGGGTGCATTTCTTCACGGTTATTAACTAAACTCATTATTAGTTATTAAGTTCAGCCGTCTTCCTTATCCATGCTTTATTTTGACATCATTTACTGTTTGTAAAGAAAGGGGGAGGGTCATTGAGACAATTGATTTTTCTTTTGGCCAGTCTGAGGCATTACAGATTGACTGGCTTGATTTTGTATTTGAATATTTTTTACTATTATGAAAAATTGAACAGCCTACAGTCACATCATATTCCTCTCTCTCTCTCTCTCTCACACACACACACACACACATCTTCTTTCTTTTGTTTTGCTTGAAATAATGGTAATGGAAAGTTTTCTGATAACAATGACTAATGTGCAGCTCTGGAGGTGTTGTGTTGGCTTCTCGAGATGGAAAAATTGTGTGTGAAAACACTCTCGATGCTCGATTGGATGTTGTATTCCGTAAGAAGCTTCCAGAGGTACTTTCCAGTATTTGACATCTGAATCATTATAACCTGCTCTTTAAGTCTTTTCCCATTACAAGTGATAGATTTTGCCTTCAATTTAATAATTTCAATACTTTTCTTTGTAATCTACACACATTCATACACTAGTTTCATTGCTTCTTCATCAGAATTAATTCACAGTTTCCATTCATATGTGAATTGTGAAGCTTTTTGTTATATCAATGTTATATTCACATGTTGAGAATTTCTTTAAAAGCTTAGTATGATATTTAAGATCATTCCATATTCTTGGTCTGTGTAATCGTGCATTGGCAATATCCATTGAGATCTTTAGCAATGCCAATTCAATTTCTCTGATTGCACTTCAACCTTGTTTCCTTCATTCTTATTGCAGATCCGCAAGTGGCTCTTTGGTCAGGTGGCTGCATGAGGTGTCGGATTGTATTCTTTCTCAGCGCAGCTTTGAATTATTTCAGTCCAAACTTTATTTATTGGTCATTGACCATAGAGCGTAGTATGAAATTGTTTGTTCTTTGCCCTTCTGAGGTGGGCTTGTTATGTTCGGCAGGATATCGTAGGGGTTTGTTACCCCAGAACCTAGTTTATGGTTTCATAATAATATCCTCTCTCTATTTACCAAAAATAAAAATAAAAATTGTTTGTTCTTGTATTTGTCATCTTCCTCTTTGCTGAATCCTCTATTTGCTGAAATTAGTTAATCTGCCCAGTTTGATGCTTTATATCACATTTGAGGGGTGGTGGCAGAACTCGTTTCCAAATAATGAATAAAACAATGTCTTTCTGGCATAAACCATAAGGTGTCATTTGTTCATAATTCATTTGTCCTAAAAAGTTACATTGTC